GTAAATACTTTCATGAAATATACATGTAATATACTACGTATTACTAGGGATGTAACAATATCAAAATCTCAATTTCGATATTGACCTCACTGTACAATATTTATTGCGATATTGTGGAAAAGCTCACGGTACTGTTAAATAGCTCACGATAGAGTTTGTGATGATAATAGCAAAAAAATAGACATTTTTTCTGCTTTTGACAGTCAACAGGCAATTTATTGTTGTATTTATGGATCATGACAACATAAAACGCTGATCACATAGTGCTTTAAAGTGCAAGTTGTAGTCAGGAACATCAATATCCTGTTGATTCTTCTGTGAATAATGTTCAAGTTAAGAAGCAACCAGAACAATTGTAAACAATAGGGAAATTCCTTTAAGTGCAAACAAATATCAAGTTAAGTCAGGTTTAAATGTGCAAGGCAAGTAAAAGCAGCCTTTTAAAACTGGTATTTAGGAACATAACTTAAATAAAATAGTCAAAAAGCCTTTTTTTAAAACACTGACCTATCAGTTAGCTTATGTTCACATTTTTCATCAGAAAGATCAAAAGATCTACATTTCAAGAAGAAAAAAAATGCCTCCTTCTGGGTTTTTTGACCGGACAGGACATTCTTTATGCAAACTTTTCTGGATGATGAGTCGTCAGATCACTTTGCATATTGCTTTTGTTTCCAGTGTTGTATCGCAGTTTACTGTGGCAGTGCTTGCATAGTCCATTGTCTGTCCACCACCATCTATCGCTGTCGGCCATGCTAGCTCGCTTTGAGCTTGTGAGGACAGCGTGCAAACCGCGTGCAAACCTATTGGCTTAAGAACGGTTGGTATGATGACGCAGCGCAAAGGATCATGGTCTATGTAGTTAACAATGATTTGTTCCGCGGGACTGTGTTTAATCCTCTTGCTTTCTAACGGACACCTGTCCTTTTATTATTGTAACCCAACCACGACAATATTGAGACACGTTTACCACCGCGATGTGTGTCCTTAGCTGTCCCATACTTTGTGGTTTTCTCCAAAGCAGGAAAGAGATGATTTCGCCAAAAGTATATTCACGGCTTCACTGAACCAAACATTGAGAGGCCTCATCTTTTTCCTACAATGCAAAAACGTTTTAAAGTTAGCAAAAATGTCTTAAAATAAGATTACTTACCCTTGATTTGAGTGGTAAAATAATATGATCTTTCAATGGAATGAGAAAAAAATAATTTATTTTAAGAAATATTGACTTAGATTTACATTTCTTTTATCATATAAAGCCTGGAACTCAACGCTATTTCTGACATTTTGAATTGAAAGAGTTTCCTGGATGTGAAGCGAAATTTCTTCAAACTTGGAAACAAAGTCCATTGGATTGTTTTTAATTTTATTTATTTCGGAATGACTATGTCCTGGATGACTGAAAATCTTCACCAGCAAGAAACTGAGGTATTATTAGTTTAAGTTTGTGTTACACTGCAAAAAAATGGAAATCTAATTAAGCAATTTTTACTTAAAATAAGTGCATTTTTTCTCCAATTCAGTACGAAAGTGAGACACTTTGCCAAATGGAACAAGACAATTTACATTTAAAATAAGAAAAAGCAATTGCATTGTCTTATTTCAAGTTCATATTATCTAATTATCTTATTTTAAGAGTAAATATACTAATTTCATTGGCAAATCATCGTATTTACCCACTCAAATTAAGGGTGAATACACTTAATTTAAGACATTTTTACTTATTTCTAGATCATGTTTGCAGTGTATAACTGTTTTACTTGCTTTACTACCTGTTTTTACCGTGTCTTTTCTTTACTCTGGTTTTATTCTCCTTCTATTTTATTGTTTATTTCACATAAATTACATCAAATTGTCATTGTGCTATAGAGATATATACATAAACTTGCCTTGCCCAAATTAAGGAACTTAAAGATTCTCAGATTGTATATTTTTTTTCTGAACCCACTAAGCTTTAAAAAGATGTTTCCCTGCCTAATAAAATTTCCCTCATAAAATGTGATAAACTGAAGTAAATTCTAATGTAACAACGTTTAAAGCACAAGCTGTAAATTACAGCCATGCTTCATGTCCAGGCTATTCCAGGAATGCATGAAGTGGGTCATAAGCACAGGGGAAATCAGAAGATTATCTGGAACATTACAGCCTTTTCGGATTCAGTTTCAGATATGAAGACGTTTTTGTTAGACGTCTGTGCAGGAGTGAAGCAGGATGTCTGAGCTTAATAAACGATTGTCCACTGGTGCTACATGCTTGTTGAGGAAGGAGGGATTGCAGAAACCATCTTCAATGATTTTGCTTAGTAAGTAAAAAAATACAAACTCCTTACAGCAATATCTGACACCACAGAAAAGTAATAGGATGCAATATTTATTAGCTGCTGTCCTTAAAGTATCATGCCTAGCTGTCCTTAGAGGATATATTTGCTACCTGAGGCCTAAGAGTGGTTTGGACATGAGATCAAGCTGATGTTGATAAATTATAATCAATATTTCTATTGAAATATTCAGCATTAGTGTTTTAATTACATACTTTCCTAAAATTGTGCAGCCCCAAGATTGATTAACCAAAGTTTGATCCTTTAAACTGGTAAGAAACTGGAAATGCAGGATTGTTTCCTAATGTATTATCTGCCCATTTAGGGAAACTTTACTAGACTGAAAATCTCCATCTTGTTCTCCCTGAGGTGAATATCAGGAAAACTAAAAACAGAAGTAGAACAAATATTTCTGAAACGTAACGACTTTAGTGCCTGTTTTATCATGTCAGCTAGTATTAGTGATGATACATGCCATATGGAGATGATGAATTGATTATTAAATCAGACTAAATGTGATTTGAGCAGCAAAAACGCATCTGCTGCTTCATTTTTGATACTTGTCCACATTAAAGGACAATCTTTTATTTCTGGGTGTATCATCCAAATAAGTCATCTTCCTAACTGTCATTCTGGTGATATGTTTACGTAGGGCCATAATTCGTGCTCGTCCCGTTAGCTATCTTTTTCTACGCATGTGCACTTTCAGGCATATATCTGTGGTGAGCTACGGTTTCAGACAATCACTGAAGCTCAACTCTCTCACTGCGGTTCTTTGAAAATGTCGTCAGAGGAAAAGTGTCTACAAAGTGTATGAGAAGAAAAGAAAGGCCTCAGAAGAGGCAGATATATCCCAGAATGCTTTGTGCAGAGAGCTCTCCTACAAAGCATTATGGGATTTGCTGTAACAGCAGCCTAATAGAGACTAATAACAAAGATGGTGCAGGCACTGCAGAGAGGACCAATGGAGAAGTGATCATCCGTCCGAACTGTCAGTTAAC